TCAAGACGTCGTCCAAAGCCTGAGACATGTTTTCTTCATTCCATCCACCTTTTTTGGCGTTTAATGCTCTTGACCTCATCCTCCTTTTGGTCTTGTATTAAAAAATTATTTAATATCATTTTACTTAAATTTCCTAATATTAATAAAAACATTATTACTATCACAATCTCCAATAATTTTTTTATTAAAATTGAAAATTGGAGCAAAAGATATTCTAGAACTTTTTAATTTTTAAATTAAAAATTCATAATTAATAATTATTAAAATTGAAATTACAAAAGTAATTGATATTTAGTTAGATATGGATTCAATTCCAATTACTAATAAACCACTGTGACCAGGGTATCATTCTTTATATAAGTATTAGTATTTATTAGAGTGGTTCATTCTGTACACACAAAGCTGGTCCATCCTGTACCACATGGTAGTTGGACACTAAAACGGACATGCCAAATAAATTAAAAAGGATAAAGGTGTCAAATCAACACTATCGTGTTCAGAAAGCATTATTTTATAGAAACTGACAAAAAAACAAAAACATACCGCTCGAAATTTTTCTAAAACACTCAAAAAGAAACAGACGAATATTTCACTTTTTCTCGCAAAAAAAGGAAAAGTGAAACAGTTAAATCGGCTACTAAAAACATTTAATAAAATTTACATCTGGTTATAGAAAGCCAAGAGACGTATATGAATTTAAATTTTAAAAAAATGTTAGCGCATGTTTACTATTTTTAATTTCGAAGGTCCTTTCGGTACCTGGTCCATTCGACCCCAGTCTCCCCTACTGAATTGTTTAGTGATTAGTTTACATACATCCTGTTTAACTTTGTTTAACAATCAAACTCGTTCACATTGATTTAAAATTGTTTACGTGAACTGAAGACAAAAAATCAAATAAATAAATAAATCAACGCTATTATTTATAAAGGAAGACAAAAATATGGTACAGCGAACTTAAGAAACATAAATCAAGTATTAAAAACGGGAATAATATGAACAGCATACAAAAATTATTACAACCATCGTAAAATTTACACAGCAATATTCATGATAATCGTCATTATAATCTCATGATCACATCACATTAAAGACAAACACACACGCACGCACACAATAATACAGCACAGATTGTTCATGTTGTTCTTCCCGTCAACGCACTCAAAAACAACAACAATTGACCCACAATCGGCAAACCTCTAAACAACCTGCCATCATTCATTCATTTCATCCACGCTTTCATCCATCTTTCTTTTTATAACATCTCTCCCTCTCTCTCTCAATTATTTTGCTCTGAATTTCCTCAGGCATAGACCATTATTGACTAGACGTAATTATCAACGTTGGCTGTTGGATCTCCGGATCCTCAGACGACAGATTGAAACTACGTGCTCCTGTCGCAACTGCACCACACCACAACACCATCATGACGAATCCATTTTTTCCTACCTACACAAACAACCTCATTAGCAATGAAGCTGGCAGCTTTAGTTATTTTAAATATATTAAGTTTAGATGAATAAGAAATTTATCAAATAAAAAACTATGTACGTCTAAAACATGTAAATGATTTGATTGATATAACTTAGAAGAATAATAAACTGAATGAAAATAACATTAAAGAGCATCAAATTTGACATGGCGGCCATACATAAAAAAGTCGTTTTAATATTTTTATCACAAAATTTATTTCATATTTACGAATAACAAAATATAAAAACTCAAAAAGTAATTGAGATTCCTGTCAACAAATCTCATTTCAAAGGCTCCTGTGCTAAATGCTGATTCTTATTTTAAATAAAACTAATAATGGATGAAGATATTTGATAAAATATTTAAAAAGAAGGTCAATATTTATACAAATAAAAAATATAAATAAAAAAATATCAAAAAGATTTTCAATATTTAATAAACAAGGAAGTGCGTCACAAACACACACACACGCACACACACTCACGCACACACACTCACGCACACACACACACAGTCAGGCATGCAACGGTATAACATTTGATATTTATGACGACTTGAACGTCAACGGCAGGCTACGAACAACAGGCACTATCAAAAGATCGGCGTGACATTAATTATGCGCTAATCTCTCTCTCTCTCTCTCTCTCTCTCTCTCTCTGCCCTCGTTCATTCTCAAAGTTTGTGCAAATAAGTAAACAATACATGAAAAATAATCACATGATGTGACGAATAATGTTATTGCGATTGAAGCAATGCGGACACGATTGCAATTAGTGCAGTAAATAACGTACATTATTAAGCTGTACAACAACAAAACGTAATAATATCATTTGCTTATACATGTCAATTCTAAATACGATTTCATTTTATAAAAACTTAAGTTAGACACACACACACAAACGCACACACACACACACATATATAAATATATGTGTCTATATATATTAATATATACAAACGTATGTAAAGTTAATTCTTAAAGTTAGATTGAACAATGTGAACGTTGAAAGCTGATATGATTCAAGTGACAAAACTCTTAACAACAACAGCAGCGGCATCAGGCAGAAAACTTTCACTACTAAACTCAACTCAATCAGCATTTCATACATTAACATGCCAGGCAACAAACGCACTGTAAAATCAAACACAACGAAAATATTGTTGGAGGAATAGTAATAGCAATATAAATAACCAGCAAATAACATCTAAGAATATCATTGTCAAACAAGAATTTGATGTTAAAATGAAGATAACTAATAAAATCAGACAATCAGATCGAAATAAATTATTGCAAGAAATCGAAAAAATGAAATGAATATTTAAAATTTGAATGTATAACATTTGATATACAGTGCAAATGATAAATAAGACGTTATCAAGAGAACTCCATGAAAGGTGACCTCAACCTTCAAGACAACAATTCCCAACATCCTCCCATTCCTTCATCTATCTAACTATAGTATGAACGTCCATCCATCCATCCTATCCATCTATCTACCACGTATCCATCTAATGATTCATCTATCCATTTATCCACTCAATCATCCATCTATCTATCGTATTTCTATCCATGAATTTATTCAATCGTCCATTAATTAACTAACAATCGTTAATTAATTAACCAGCCCATAGGTCCCCCAGCAAATCCATTCATGGGCTTAGCACACCTGCACGTAACTGTCAGGAAACAGACCTGACTTTCCATTCTTCAGTCCCGTCGACCACCCATTCATATCTTTCGACCTGATCCGTTGAAAGACATCACCTAGATAGTAGGTTCATAATACAACATTCATACATTCAATTTAATAATTTTAATATTTCGCTATTAATTAAATAACTTCAAAATAAAATTTTATGATGCATCATGAAAGACAAAAATTAAAATTCGTGATGGAGTCAAAAAAGCAATTGTTTTCAGTAAGTGGACAGTATCAAACCACCTCATAACGTTATGAGGAACAAACATTACATATATAAGGACAATTATAAACTCAGCCTTCTATCAACAATGAATGATAACAGATGTTACGAAAGATAAAAAACCTTTTTCGAAAGTCAGTTCATCGCTATCTCCTCCTTCGAAATCGTACAACGCGACAACCCGCACAGCAGCAGAATCGCCCTCCTTAGCTTCCTGCATTCCATCCAGATCCTGACCCTCGTTTGTATAAATGTGGTTGTCGTTCAGCGTGCAGTAAACACTGTAGTCCAGTTCTCCATTTTGCAGTGGCTTCTTGTCTGTTTTTGAATTGATTTCTTTTCGGTTGATGGCGCTTGTTGTGGCCATGGTAGGAATGTTGGCTGGCGGTTGTGGTAGCTGGTCGAGAGATTCCAAATCAAAATCTGATTCATTGTCGATGTTATTGTTGTTGTTATTGTTAGCGGCGGCAGTGGCGTCGTTCTCAGCTACTGCTTTCGAATCACGTTGCACACTACTGGAATTATAAATGCTTCAATGTTAATACTGGATTTAGTATCAGTAAGAAACATTATGAATGAGTTCTAGCTATGCTTTATTATCAAATCAGCAGATTTCATCAAAGATTTCATCAGCAGATGAGTTCCTTCACGCTCAAAAATCTTTTTAATAACTTTATTTAAATTGATCATAAAACAATAAAAAACAAATCAACTTGACAGATGGAAATCAGCACCATGAATGAACATCATAGACACAAAAACTTGAAATGAAAAATGTAGAAGAACTGCTGTTGAAAACCTGTAAAGAGAGTTAGGGTCATCTTTGTTGTTTCCATTACTGACAACAGCAGCCACAACAAGTGGAATCTCGGGTTTGTCCACAGTGGGGGTGACAGTGGGCAGGTTCTCGGGTGGGGCCGCCAGCTGTTGCTTCTTCATTTCTATTTTCTCCAAAATTGCAGGGCTGACTTCCTGGATAGCAGATGTTTTAATGTGTTCAATAAAAATTAATATCATCCGGTAAGGTCCCAAACTAAATGGTAAGTGGAATGAAGTATTTGTATTTGCTACTAAAATGAAATAAATTATAATTATTAAACCATTACTATTTTTTAATGCTATCGTTATAGCAATCATAACAATTAAAAGAAAAACAGGAAAAAGTAGACAATTATTGAGGATTTATTAAAAATTAATTTCACCCAAACACCATGTTTTTATTATTTAAACGAGTATGAGATTCATCCACATGTTGTTGAGAATTAATTAAGATTTTCACAAAAAAGGCCCAAGAACATATTTACAGTGAAGAGGTTGAGCATAGCGTGGCTGGCAGGCCCGAACTGCTCCCCCCACATGTGCACATCCGACTCTGGATTGGAACTGCTGATGTACTCCTGGCATGCCCCGTAAATCTCCTGGACTCTGCGACATTCATTAAACTACTTTTAATTATTTAAAAATTAATTTAAATAAGTTACTTAAATAATTTAATTCAAAATCAATTGCAATTAAATTCTCACTTCAAGAACTTTTATTACAATCCATATTAGGAATGGGACGGATCCAAGATTTTGGGATCCGTGGATCCGAATCTCGACGATGGATCCGGACGGATCCGAATCCGGATCCATGTTGTATGCGGTCATAAAACTAAATAAGCTGTTTCTCTGACGAACCAAAGAAATATTTTTTATTCGTATTTGTATCAAGTTAATTGTAATATTAGTTATATTAAACACAGTAACAAATAGCATTATTCATTATAATTTATTAAAATAAAAATTTTCACAATCAATAAAGTGGAAGTTTAATATTACATTATTCACTAATCAACCAGATTGTTTTATTCTAGGCAAATTAACTTTCAAAAATGTTAACATTTCAACATTATCCATTAACAACCAATGGCGACCTTTTGTAATCCCCGATGAGACCTTGAATATTCTTTCTATGCACACAGTGCAAGGTGGTGGCGTTAAGTATTTTTTGGCTATTTTTGATAACAGAGGATACTGATTGCGGCAGTGGTTCCAAAATATTAATGGATCTTTATCATGGGAAATTAAAGCTTCTTTCAAATATTTTTCAATTGTTGTCCTTGGTCCATCCATTTTTTCATTTTGTGAATTGTGTGATTGACCAGCAATAACATTATAGGATGACCACAAGCTTCCATCATCTGGCATTAATTTTATTTTTTTTGCTGGTTGCTCAATTTCAGTAGGCCCAACAGCATCAGTTTCAAGTTGCATATATTCTTGAATAAGATTATCTGTCGCAGTGACTTTATGAATTTCTTTCAGGAAAAATTTGTCCTTAAATCGCGGGTCTAACATTGTTGCCAGTGCATATAATTTATTTTCACCAAAATTATTAAATCTTTTTCGCATCTCATCCAATAAAACTGCTTTTAATGTTAGGACACCAGCCTCACATGTATTTTCTTGTAGTTTGGTTTCTATCAATTTTATAATCGGAATGACCATTGAAATTGAAACACTTCCACCGCTTATCGCATTAGTAGCTTCAGCAAATGGTGAGAGGACAGTGATGCATTTTTCCATTAATTGCCATTCAGTTGGTGTTAATGACACCGGTAAATCATTCTCACTGCCATATTCAATTATTGCTCTTTTTTGTTCTCGCAGGCGTTCCAGCATGGAAAGACACATATTCCATCTGGTTGGCTCTTCTTGAATAATACAATGTTGAGATAACTGGAGATCTTTTTGTAATTCTTTTAATCTACTCTTTGCTGAAGGCGAATGTTTGAAATGGCCCACAAGCTTTTTTGAATGTGTTATCATATCTGATATTGACTTTTGAGCAAACAGACGTTCTTGCACAATTAGATGAAGACCATGTGCAAAACATGTTATACTAGGTAGATCAGCATCTTTCATTGCCTTGACCATGTTGGTGCCACCATCACGAACAACTAAAAAAAATTTCTGCATGGGTAAACACAATTGCTCAAGAACAACATTAAAAATCTGTAAAATTTTAATGGCTGTATGTCTTGAGTGCATTGGTGCAACATTCAAGACAAACATTTTCCTTTCATATGATGTGGTTAACCAATGTGCAGTTATCCCAAAGTAGGATTCTGTTGACTTTGATGTCCAGATGTCCATTGAAAGAACTACATCCTCTGCATCATTCATCTGTCGTTTGATTTCTTCGGTAATGGACTCCTGTTAGAAATTGCAAGTTGAAGTTCAGATAAGTACATTCTAATAACAAATAACATAACGTCATTTAAAAAAATTATTTGGCTTAAATTAGAATTTAAAAATTTTATATACAGGATATAATTTAAAAAAAATAAATTATAAAATTTAGTTGAAATTGAAATACTTTTAATTTTGGTAACATCTTTTCTGTTATATACCGTCGACATGGGAGAACATACTTCGGAATAGCAATTGAACAAAAATGATTAAAACCTTCGTCTTCCACTATACTCAAAGGTTGCATGTCTATTGCAATCATTCTAATTAGCGCAGTAGTTATGGCCTTAGACTGTGGATTATCTGCACTCCACTTATCAGACCTTTGAAAACCTGCAACTATTCCTTCTTGGCGAAGCTGAGTTTGTCCATCAGTAAAAGTTGAAGGCTTTGTTGTTGTCACTTTTTCACTCTCCTTTTGCTGAAGATTTCGAAATTTTTCAAAATGCTTGGTACGAAGATGTTTACGCATAGATGATGTACCACAGTCATTTACATCTTTTGCGCCGCGTGATAAAGTTATAGCACAGGTATTGCATCTAACTTTTGTACCATTTTCCAATAATGAAAAATATTCCCAAACCAAACTTTTTTTTTGTTTGGAATCCATCCTTTACGTTCACGTTACGTCAAGTTAATAAATTACCTACAAATGTGCGCACACCTCAAACGAATTCTAAATGGCGGATCGAAATCCAAAGATACTTCATATAGGTGTTTAATTAATCCATGATATAGCATAGCATGAAGCTGAATTTTTAAAATAAAAAAGTTTTTATTTTTAAAATGCGCAATAATGGATTATAAAGTTTACAAAAAATCAAATTTTTGTTTTGAATGTTAAATTTGTAGAGGTGCAAAACGAATCTCAAAAACATCAGTTTTCGTAACTTTAAATGATTATTACGTAATCAACGTTGATATTTAGATTCACTTTTTCCCTCAATCGATAAAATTTTCTCGCCGCTTAAGTTGATTTTGGACCCGTAAAACGCCGAATCCTCAATTTAGGATCCGCGGATCCGAATCTTTTCCGAATCCCTGGATTCGGATCCGAATCCGGATTCGGAACCGTCGCATTCCTAATCCATATTTTAAAGAGGTACATTCATGAAAAATGAATAAAATAAATTCATGAGTGCACAGAAATTTCAATTGCAAATGAGGGAAATAAAACTTCAAAATGACCTGATGTATAACGATAACACTATCTTTAAGATAAGTTGTTAATTATGTGTATAAATTAGCATTATTTAAATAAATTCCAATATAAAATAGAATTGTGTGTCATCGGGCAAAACTTGAAAAACTACATCAGATGTCACAAATAATAACAGAACAAAAATTCAATTTAACAGAATTCAATATCAATAAAAATGCAACAAAAAAAATCAACCTTTGATCTTTATTGAGATTCATTTTTTCTTGAAGTTTTAAAAGAATTTCTTTGAAGAATTCCAGCCTCTTAACCTCAAACTCTTGTGCTTCAGCAAATGCATTGCTCATATCGGCCGTGTAGGCAGGTTTCAAACTTTCCAACTCCGCCACGGCTGCCTCATACTGCACCTTTGCCTGGTCCATCTGTCGAGTAACCAGCTCACACCTATCCTTTGCTCTTTGGTATGCCTGCGTGGATGTCATTGTTAAGTTCAATGTGCTTCATTGTAATTAATTTATAAATATTTCTCACATTATCAAAAAGAAGCCTAAGTTATTGAAGTATATAAATAAAAAATATTACAACTGTGTTTCAAAAAATTAAAACAAAAAAACTGAAAAAAAGAATGTAACATGAAAAAGAACTAACTTGAGAATCATTTTTATTGACATTAGCTTCCTGATCCAGCAGCGTGTCACATTGTTTGCAATACTTTTCGTATGTTTGTCGTAACTTTTCTACTTTTTTCACCTGATTTGCCCACGGTTTTTGAGCCTAAAAAATATTATAACATAACTTGATCAGCATAATTAATTTTTTTAAGAGAATTCTATTTTACATTTTCAATACTTACAATATGAAATCATTTTTTTACAAAATTAAAAAGCCAAAACAGAAATAATGTACTTTATTTTTTATAATTTGTACCTTTTTAAAATGTTTTTCAAATTTTGCCGCTGGTTTGCTCTTACATAATTGCACTCCATAACTATTATCTCTCCAATTTTTTATTTTTGACTTGACCAAATGGACCAGCGCATCTTTCATTGTGATGTGGACATCGGAAAGTTTGTCAGCTTCTGTAACAAAATTCTTCAACATCTCTTTGTTAGTACCATATTCCGGGGCTGTTTTATGGTTTTCACTTTTTATTATTACAAATGATATGAACATAATTTGAATTTGAATCAATGATTCCAAGTTTAAATACTAAAAAATTTTATAAATGAAAATAAAAATACACATATCAAGTTTTTTTTTATAAATTTTAAAATATTTTTGAGCAAGCAAGATTACTACAAAAGTGTATCTGTATCTCTTCCATACAACAGCATTTTTTTTATTTTACAGTTTTCCCTTTACTAAACATTAAATAAACTTTGTAATCATATTCAATTCAATAGTCAGTCAAGTGGAATTTCAATTTAATTTGCATATATATATATAAATATTTATTTAATTTTAATATAATTGCTTGATCATAAATAATTTATTAGTTTATTGTTTTAAAATTTAAATTAGTAAATAAAAGATGAAAATTATATTTAAAAACCCGTCGACGCAAACAGCAAACGTACATTTATCAACTTCGTGAGTCCACTTTTTGTACCATGAATTGAGTTTCTGGGAATAAGCTTGTTCAATGTGGGCCCTCTCCTCAATCAGCTTCATCAGAAAGTTGCACATCTTCTTCCCATCTTCTGTGCGCTTTATTACTTTTTTATAACCATCGATATCCCAAAAATTTTCTTTTTTATTGAGCGTTTCAGAAGCCATATTATAGTTTTTGAAAATTAAAATAAAATCATTTTTACGCAAAGAATTTTAAATATTTTGTTTGTTTTATTTTTAGACAACACTTAATCGTCACTCTAGGTTTTGCACAGGTGGTAGAACGAAAATGTCAAAACTTCAGATCAGCTTTGATTTGAAAGGCGCTTCACAATGAGTAACGAAATACATTGTAATCTTAAAAACTGTACCAGAGTTAATGAGATTAAATTTTCATTATGAAACAAATTATAAAATAATTACATTGACTATATTTTCACGTTAATTTACATCCCACTGCGATCCGCATGGCTGCATTAAAAGCAGTTTTTCCCTAGGGCGATGCATCCTTAATATATTGACGCGATACGCTGCCTTCACTTGCTGTATAAATGCAAAAGAACGTCGATGGATGCTGTGTGACAAATTTACTACGTGCCAATATGAAATATTTAGATAAATATTCGGTAAATTCTTGTAACAGTGACTCCGTATCAACTTTTGAAATGTTTAATCATATCGCAAGGAAAGATGAAGCCGAAATGGTTGAACTGTCCGATTTAGAAAAGTTTTTTTTTTTTTTTTATATTACTATTAAAAATTTAAGCCCGACGATCATAAACTGTAAAAATAACGTTATTTAGATTCTGTTGCTGCGAATCTCCGATGCCAACAAATTTGTTGCCTGATATCAACCGAAAAGATAACGTTATAAATTATTTGCCACCAGCAGTTATTCAACCCCACACGTCTGAATTTATAGTCAATGATGTCGACGTTAATATGAAATACTACTCGAATGGAAGCAAAAGCAAAATTAATGCCAATAGCCCAACTTTACTCAAGGTGGATTATGGTTGTCCAAATATTTATTACACATCAAAATCTGACTCGGCAGAACTATTACTGGATAGAAAACAGGACGGCTGCTCCAACGAAACAGATGTGCAACGCAAAAGCGATAAACTTTCAAGAAGCGATAGATTTGTTGGTTACTTTTTTCAAATCTCAAACGATAAAAAAGTTTTTGGATTGACTGCTGCTGTTATTTTCATAGTTGGATTAAGTTTGGGATCAATATTTGGATTGGGAGCTTTGAAAAAAAATTCTCATAAAGGTATTTTCTAAATAATCTTAAAAATAGATAAGTCCATAAAATGTATGCACAGGTTAGCTACATTATTTAACTTGATAGCCAGTCAATGTCCGATTGATAGACTGATATGTGAATCTGTTGAGTGTCGGGATGCTTTCAGATCAACTTTTTGTAACCCCACCACACTGATGACATGTTCCAACAACAACCTTTATAAAGACTTCTGTGCAGATTTCAATTGTCAGTGTCTAAAATAAACATAAATTCTAAACAATTAATGATAATAATAATAATTTAATTCAACGTGCAGATACGGATAGTATTTGGCGTGATTTAGAAAAGGAGGATTCGAAATGGAAAAACTATAATTCAACAACATCAAACAATGAAATTTTCATGAAAGGTAACGTGAACTACTAAATAACAATAAAAACACAGCATGCAATTTTTTTATTATGCTACTGACAAATTGGAACTTGGAACTCATTAGCAAACAATATTGTGTGCAGATGCATCAGGATGGGTATATTTTGACAAGGGCAGTTTGAATGGTTCAAAGTATATAATCGTCAGCAAGTTCATGACATTCCAAGTAGCTCAGGATTATTGCAAGAAAGTGGGAGGTCACTTGGTCCACATCAATTCAATTAGAGAACAAATTTTTGTTGAAGATTATCTATCTTCCGAATTGAAATCAGGTTGTATTTGTTGATTTTTAAAATCACTAAAATTCTAATTGTATGTCAAAACATTAAAGCTTATATTTATATAAATAAGTAATTCTGTAAATTTTGCAATATAACGCAGATTCCCTTCCTCCAAGCATTGGATACTGGTTAGGAGCCCGTCGACCAAGGGGTGGCCACTCCGGAATGTGCATGTACGAGCAGTGGAAGTGGATTGATGCTTACGGAAGAACTCACGGAACTATTAAAGGATTCACTGCATTTGTTCCAGGAAAACCGGACAAGTAATTAAATGTGGATAGATGTAAATAGATACATCACATATTAATTAGTTAAAAAATATTAAGCATAATATGAGGAAATACTTTATATTGATTTTATACATTTCAGTCTATACTACCCAGAAGAGTGTTTATATTTAACTGTGAACGAAGGGAAACACGAAAGCAGGTCATTGATTTAAATTGTATTAATTTTCAAGTATTGTGTAGAATATATAATCAATATCTATTTCATTATATAGGTACTATTGATATAAACCGACTATTGCTAAGAAATGTTAATGTAGCAACTTGATTACATAAGCTTAACGTTGACCAATGAAGCATGCGTTCATGTCTTTATAAAATTATTCACAATCGATATTCATCTGTCGTAAAATGTTTTTTGTATAAAATGTAGTAGAAGTAGTCAGAACTGATCTTGCAATCAACAAAGTATATCAAACGACGACCAACCGACTGACTGACTGACTGACTGAGAATCGTTGAAACGTTTGTATCGCGCTACTGCAGGTATCTAAAATGGGATGATGCCATGTGCGATCTGCCGAACGCAGGCATACTGACATTTTGCGAGGTTGAATTATTTCAACAACGATGAAGTTTTAATCTGTAACGAATTTATTACATTTCCATTTTATAATAAAATACTAAACCCATTGATTTGAATTCCTTTTTAAAATGGTTTGTGCATTGTCCAGATAGTTTAAAAATATATTAAGCATTTTCATTAAATTTGTAATTTGAAAAAATGTTTTGAGATGCTACTAAATCTGTTATATAATTCTATGAAATATTAATTAGCACATATTATATAAAAATATTGAACTCATTCAAAATCACAAGAAGGACACGACCGTTAAGAAACGACAAAGAAGTAATTGAAAAAAGGGAGCGCGATCAAATTAATTTTAAATGAATTTATATTTACCCTCTAATTTGTCTCTCACATACATTGAATTTACAATCTTTTTTCACAAGCGTTGTACGTTGAATTTGGGCATTTGTGAGCAATTCAGTAAGCATGTTTAGCGGTAAAAAGGCTTTAGATAGTTTGTTAATTTACATAACTTCGATAACAATTTTAATCACTGGCAAATTTCTGTAAAAATGTCTGATGATTTTATGCGAAACCGTTGGTTGGTTCTGTGACGGATTGAAAGAACTCCTTGGATTTAAAGATCCAGTAACTATGCTAGATTTTCACCAATCAATGGAAAGCCATATAAAAAACTTGGCCGCCAATGGATCCATCAGCTGCACAAAATCAGATCGACTGGTCGCAAGAACATTTTTGCTTACATCAGAGATGGCTTCGTATTCCAGAAAGAATTTTGTTCAAATTAGTTCTTTTTGTCAGAGATTTACTGGATGCTCCAAGTTATTTGAGAGAGAAACATCAGCTAGTTACTAAGGTTGCGAACCGAAGTAGACTAAGATCCTCTGATAATGGAGATCTTGTGCTTTCAAAATCCAACTCTTTGCGCTTCGGTAAGAGAAGATTCTTAGTATACTGTCAGCACAAATTTGGAATGACAACATAACTCAGCGGGTTTTCAAAAAGCGTTTAAAAAATCATTTGTTCAACAATCTACAGTGAAGCTAGTGCTTCTGAAGTTCATTCCAAAGGGGGAGCACTATACAAGTCATGCAATACAACACAACACAACACAACACAACACAACACAACACAACACAACACAACACAACACAATACAATACAATACAATTTAAAAAAATTATAAAAATCAACGAGTTAAAATTTGTTAAAATTTCGATAAACTACGTTTGTGTATGTTCTAAGTATATTACTGTGTACGTACGATATCAAAACGTGCAATGGAAATTGTGGAAGATAGAAATTATGGCAGCTGTAATTTTTGAGAACGTTTCATCAACTCAAATACGTTCAGAGTTTAAAATTTTTCTGTCATAATTAATTGATTAATAAAGAGGATTGTTGATTGTTGATCGTTTGTGTGAGGCTTCAAGGGTTTGCAATTTTATCAAGCTGCATGTCCTGTCAATAATTTCCTTGCCTAACTAGTCGTGGCTTATTTTTTAACTGTGTTAGCTTGCCAACCTTCACATATGAAAATGCTATAATAATGGAAGCACGATTATTATAGATGATTGTTATCACAATAGAAAAAACATAATATGAAAAAAATGTTTCAACTATAATTTAATAAAATTTTGGTAATGAAATCGCGCTATAGTTTTAGAATTGTAAAGTTAAAAAGGATTGTAGAAAAGCAGTTGGTTGCATAAAATAAACATTCAACTGATTATATACATATACACGAGATATACACTTTAAAAAACATGTTTTGTGGTTTCATTTCAATATTTTAAAAATTCAGAGGTAAACAAATTTTGTAATAGTGTTTCAATCCAGGAGTATTAATTGGTTCAAGTTATTTTGTTTAAAATGATATATTTGAGGGTAGTTTTTTATTGTAAAAGTTTTTTTATAAATTAAAAAACAAAAAAATAAATGAATTAATGAAAACAGATAAAATGTTCGGAATGGATGGCTTCTTAGTTTGGGAATTCATAAGCCAAATCAATGAACCAACATCGGAACCAATCGAAAATAGGAAAGTGGCAAAGAAACCAACAATTAAACAATCATAAACCAGGAAGGTGGTGAATGAACCAAAAATCGAAACAATCAGAATCATCGAACAACTTAATGAACCGGTGAACGAACGAAACGAAAACAGCGACCCATTAATAAAACAGATAGAAGAGGCCCCAATATACCAGAAATGTTCGGCGTTATTGTTCAGAACTCGGCTGAAATCGCAAAATCAGAAGAAAATTTTCGAACCAATCGTTAGTTCCGATGCGCTTGAGTATTCTTTTGAAAAATTGTTGGATTCTGGCAAATTCGGACTAGTTTATCGGGCTTACAATCGTTCCAATCAAAACCAAATGCTGGCAATCAAGTTAGTTCTACTTAAAACAGATAACAGAAGTTAGTCAGTCTTGATAGATGAGAATGATGATATTGTAATGACGATGATGACGTGATGATGATGATGATATGATGATGTTTTGCTATGTTGAATTTGGATCAACTCTGCAGGGTATGGTTGATGCATTAGAAACAAGAGAGAGGGAGAGAGGGAGAGAGGGAGAGAGAGAGAGAGAGAGAAGACATGCTTCGATGCATTGATGATAAAAAAATCATTAAAAAATCATTGTGAAACAGTATTCTTGTCTACATAATTGCTGATGTAATTAACAATCTTCGGTTGCACTGACGTTGTTATAATTTACACATTTTACTAAAATGTTTAAAAAGACCAAGTAGGTCAAGATGTCAACCGAATTTTCAAAAATACAAGAAGAGTTAACATTTGTAATAGTAAGTAATGAAATATTTTTTAAATGTAAATGGGTCTTCAAAAATATTAAACATTTTAGTTTTTATTGGGTCAGATATCTCGACGCAATCGAAACGAAATTGTTGACATTGTTGTTAAAATCTTTTTACATAGTGTGCTGTTAAAACAACAGAGCCAAACTCTTTTGCAGTATGGTTAATAAACAATAGTAAGCCGAAATATATAGGAATGTCATGTTGAAGCCAACGAACAAGTGAACATCAGTTTGGCTAATAAATGCACTGCACTCGTCACCGACGGACTTCTACATGGCGGCTCTATTGGCTTTTGTAACCAGCTTGATTAAATAATTGTTCATAGCCGCATGCCTTGCCTGCCGGATTGAACTCGGCTCACACGAGGAAACATGAAACCCAAAACACGAGACAGCACGAAACGCAAAACCACCGGCAAGCCTATATAACAACTCTCATAAATGAGTCATCAAATCTGGTACGGCAAGCGGTCAATGGCATATATATACGTATATATTATATTATTGATAAACCATTACCCACCATAGGCCAGATAGTTGTTTGTCATCAGATACGCCATCAGATATGACAGATCAACTATTCTCACATATATTCTTACTCATTTTTTCAATATATATATATATATTTTGAATTTTTATAAACTAACTTTAGTGAGAAAAATTGAAAAAACGAACTACAAACATATTAACGCCAAGCATTCGGTAGAATTTATAGAATATTGTAAAAGTTATGGTCTATTACCAACATATATATATATATATATAAATATATATATATATAAATATATATATATATATAAATTTGTTTAAAATCATTGCATGTTATTTCAAAGATTACGTATACATAAATAATAAATATATATATTAAGATATAAATATAAATAAATATATATATATATATATATATATATATATATATATATATATATATGCATATATATTTTTTGTTTAAAATCATTGCATGTTATCTTGAAGATTACATGGTTAATGATTTCTCAAACGTTGTTACCGACCACTACAACGAGATACGAATGTTAAGAGAACTAAACAGACTGCCTCACAAAAACATTTCAAGGTGTCCTATGATGAAATGCGTTGTGGTGTGATGTGGCATGTTGTGGCGTGCTGTGGCGTGTTGTGGCTTGTTGTGGAGTGGCGTGTTGTAGTGCGATGTGGTGGGATGTGGTGTGGAATACGTTGAAGATTTTTCGAATAATTTTATTGCAATCTAATTAAACATGAATAAACCAAGCCTTCTATATATAAACAATCAAATTAGACCTCATCATATCATCACTAAACGTGAAAAAATCAATTGAATCAAATTTTCACCCATTCACACACCGAAACTTACTGACACGCACACACAAACACATCCAGAATGTTGCACCATTTCGTAGTGGGATTTGATGATGGCACTCTGAATCTTGCCATTGTACTCAACTACATGCAGACCGACCTGAAGAAGTTCATTAAAAACTACCCCCGCACCACTTTGCAAAGGGAAATTATCAAGGTTCATTTCATTATCTTCATTACACTCGTTATTGTTCTGAGTATCATTTAAACTTAGGCGCTTTATCATGCAACATTTGACATTATTGAAAATTACAATATTTATCTACGTCATTAACTTAATTCAAAGACAAGAATATTGTATGTGAGCACATATAAATAGCTGAAAGGTCAACATTTGCCCGGAGCTCCTTCCTATTCGTAAATCGTCAATTTGCATCATGAAATATGTGGAAGTTGTCTTGTTGAGTTATATGTTATGCAGTATGCGGGTTGATGTGTGAAATCCACATAGAATGTGAAGGGAGATGAAAATCTTTCATAATCTCGTATTTCTAATATTTTTAATAAACTTAGTGATTAGATATAGGACCGCAATTAGAAGAATAAAAAAGGATCTAGGTTTCATTTTTCCAACGAAGGAGTTAATTAGTAATAGTTGTGCCAGTTCAAGGTAGAGGAGGGAAAGTATCTTTTTAAAATGTTTACAAGTTGTAGAATTGCTACTGTTCATAAATTACCAGACTTGCTAAAAAACTTTTATTATGATCGGCATTAAGTGGGCAAGTTTTTCTACAGGCGTTTTTAAACATTCCCAATACTTCAAAATGTGAGACTTTCTGAAAGGTTAGATATGTTCTTATGCTTGGATCTGCTTTGTGAAAATTAGTAGTAGTTTGGTGTGGATGCACAGTTTTTGAAACACACATTGCTCAAATATGAATTAGCGAGTAAGAAACAATTTGTAAGCGATTCCACTTTGTCGAAGCTACCTAATGAAGCACAACTAAAAATTATTTTGTTATAAGTAGTAACTCATCTAAACACTTGCAACTGCGACAGAGCATAATGTATCAGCTGATGGACGGGTTGAGTTACATGCACAGTCTGAAGATAGTGCACAGAGACATCAAGCCAAGCAACATCCTCGTCTCCGAGACGGGCATGGTCCAGTTGTCTGACTTCGGCTTGGCGAAGGTCATTCTCGATTTGCAAGTGGTCAACAACGTGGTTCGTACTTTATCTTCAATTATCATTTGTCAATGTTTCAATGTTAACAATTTTTTATATAATATTTAAGAAAATATCGCAAAGATTTAATTTCGTTGAATTCTTTCAAAAATTTTGAATGAATAATTTTTATATGTTAAACTTTTTCAATAAATAAACAATTATTTTTCACAAATAAACAATTAAAACATTAAGAAAGGTTCCATGTTGTACAGTGCACCAGAGGTCTTCGCTGATAGGGGCAGTAACCGCGCCTCTGATGTTTGGAGCTGTGGATGCATATTCGCTGAACTCTACCTAAAAAGGTTTTACCAAAATATTATAAGCAAATTATTAGATTAGTATGAAGTTATCAATGTATTATTACCCAAATGTCACTAAATTGTTGGTGAATTAATGTTATATTGGTAGTATTTTAAATTTGAGACGTATATAGTCTTTGCAAAAATTGATGTGACAGTTGCTGATATTGTCGTTGATGTTATTGATTTTGTTGGTGATGCTGACAATGAAATTATCGTTTATGATGTTGGTGATAGTGTTGGTTAATGTTGATGCTATTATGTTCGTTTCATTTCAACAGACCGTTCTTCAAACGGAGTGAAGTTGATTTTCCGGTCAATTGTTTCCCGATGTTGGTTTCTATTTCATTTTGCAACACCTATGTGCTTAATGATTAAAAACTTTAATCACTAAAACAACCAAATAAATTAAATAAAAAAATATTTAAATTTAATTTATTTAAATTTAAATTTAAACTTTCTAATACGGTTATAAAGAACAATAACAAAAATAATAATACAACAACTACAAATATTAACGACACTCCAGATTAATTATCATCATCAAGTAGCCCATATTATAAAACCAATAACATCAACTCACAAACACTAACATTGACGTATAACATAACATTACATTAACACAAAACTAGCAACATTAACATATAAAAAAACCAACATTAACATACAACTACCTTCTTTAACATTTAACCACCATCAAATTTTAATATTACAAAAAAACATAATTATATAAAAATGAAAACTTAGAATAAAATTAGTATCAATAGAAACACAGTAATGAATTTTTCTAGATATATGACATAAAATATACAATTGGCGTCATTTGTATTTCACAAACAACGCTTTTAACCAACGCTCAACTCAATTCAACACCAATAATAGCAGCAACAACATCAACAACAACATCATATACAACAACAACAACATCAACACATCATATAACATACATCAACAACAGCATCAACACATCATAAACAACAACAACCAACACATTCCAAACAACAGAATGTATGAAAAATCAACAGTCGAGGGCGTAACTCTAATCAACGTGAAAACTATAGACCATCTGGAGACTATTCCTTTGGACTATTTCAAAGAAAACATTCGGCAGAGCAACAAGGAAGCCAGGTACCTTCTGCAGGTAGTGTGGTTGGTGTAGTTGGCGCTGCCAGCACAGGTGTTGTGTTTGGTGTGGGTGTCATGGGGGGTGGCAGGAGTTGTAGATATGGTAGGTAGGTGGTGGTGACGTAGAAACGAATGCTGTGTGGCATTTACATTCAATGTATTATATATTCTTTGTAATTTATTATTCCTTTCAATCAGTTGGCACACACTCACAACATACAAAACACCACACAAACATCACACACAAACAAACACATACCCACATACACACACACACAGTCAACATACAAATCACCACACAAACATCACACACAAACACACACAACTTTTGTGCAGCTAATGTTGCACTGTCAAAAAGCCTCCAGAATTGAAGCTAAAAAAGCGCTATCCCAGCAGTTCTTTAAAAAAGTTCAAGTCCCCTTCAAGATTGATTGGATGAATGCGCGCCATTCACTATGTGAAGTAAGACCTCACAACCTCATGATTTCTGTGATAAAGGATGGATGATGACAATAGCAACAACGACAATGACAGGAACAAAAACAAACACATCATAAACAACAACAACAAGACATATTAAACAATTAATTAATTTATCAGTTTCTAAAATTGTCATTTGATTTCCCATGTTTAACCCTTTCACTTTCATTATTTATTATTTTTTTCATTTTGTAACAGATTCTGCCTCTGTCAGATTTTGTTTTTTTTTATTTCATTTTACAAATTGAAAATAGAGCTTATGAAACACGTTAACAAGTGTAAAACAATGATGGTCTCTAGTAAAATGGATTGCTTCATTTCATTTGATATGAACGTCTTCACATACACGTGTTGCTTTTATTTGCTTCCTTTAACATTTAGTTACATTTTCTTTATTTTAAGCATGTGATTTAAATTTTCATGATCTTACCGAATTTTAACTTTTTTCAGATGCATTTTTTTAATTGTCTAATGTAGCCATTTGACGTAATTTAACTTTATATCTTTAATTTAATTCGTAACTTTTGTAGTGTTTCTGCTTTTTATTGAAACTGCATATTCTAGTATTTATGAAAATCTTGTTTTTTTTTTTAAAGTAACACATTTATAAATTTCAATTGTGAAGCGTACATTTTGCTGAAATCCCGATTTTAAATTTTCACTGCCTGATATGACGACGTGCTAAACATTTAAATGAACATTCCATGCGTTATAGTACCTTTGCCCCGTCGATGCCTTAGATTCAAATTTATAAAATCATTAAATCGCATTTTGATTTAAGTCGTTGTCATCGATATGAATATTTTAAATAAATTATTATTAAATTAAAAACTTCTCTTCGTCAGGTGGCAGTGTTGAATTTGTTTTTATACATCAGGCATCCGTCGAAACAAATAACTGGATGGATGCGGAAATTGTAGATGAAATATTAAATATTTAAAAAACATTGAAAACCATTCACATGGTAGTGAAGAGAATGATGGTCTTTGAGTTTCGGCAGAGTTGTAACGAAAAGACAAAACATTGCCATAAAATTATTGTAGCACTCCAAGATGTAGAAGTAGTTGTTAGCAAACAGAAACCTAAGATATGTTACATACATCTGTGTGAGCAACCCATATGAAGCAATTATGAACGGTATCTGTAGAAAGTAAGTTGGAAAAGTTTCATCTAATTTTCTTCTATCACCACCACTACACGATTCATTAATTTGCTTGCCATTGCGACAATTATGGCTAGTTTACCACTTTATATAACGAAAAGATAACTGTTTCTACGTAAGGAAAGATGAACATTATCACAAAACATCATCGCGATATATCGCCCAACATCGGAGTTCGAGTCGGTCGGAGATTTGAATTTTTAGAGAAGTCGAATCGGAGTTGGAAATGATTTTGGAATAGGTGTTGAAAATTATTTAATTTTTTTTGGAAATTATAGTCCAAAAATGATTTTTCATGCTGATGTTTATTATAAACAGATCAGCATCACGGTATGTCATCATTTCTAATGGCCATAGTGATTATGGAAGACTGATAAGCAAAACATATTAACGATATTTCCTTAGCAGTTACAAGCAGTCAGCATTGAGACAAACAAAATAAAAAAGTCATCATCGTTGTCATCCTCCTCCTTCTCCTCCTCCTAATGATTATCATTACGATAATGAAGATGGTGATCCCCATCATTAGCTCATCATCATCATCAACATTATCATCATCATTATCATCATCATCATCATAAACATTGTCATCCTCACCATCACCACTCCACGCAAACAAACAAACAAACAAACCAACTCCGCGCGCGACCACACAGCGAGAGAGACAGAGCCAGGTAGTAGTTCTAAGAAGAGCTCCAATCTGATAAGTTATCACACCTCTGAGCAGTCTGCCAGAAAATTTTTCAGACGGATTTTCTTTTCTAAGCAACAACAATCCAAACATAATTCTTCCAACCATAGAAAGAGGAACATGTTTTCGTTGCTAATTGCACGCTCGTATATACAAACTTGCTCTCTTGTGGGATGTCTTTGTCGGTTGGCTCGAGTAGGAACTTTTGCAAATGTGGGTTTATGTATCTGTGCATGCGTTTGTGTATATGTGCATGTGTTTGTGTATGTGTGCGTGTGTTTAAAGGCACGTGCAAACGTGTTTATGTGTGTGCGTGTGTTTGCTCCTACGCTACGTACATTTTTTATATGTCTTAGTACATGGTTGCATGTTTTGACTTAATGAGCGTAAAATTTGTGTTCGTTGGCAAATTCCTATCTATGTATGGATTTAAGCTTGAGTTTATATATGTTTGTGCAAAAGTCTGTTTACGTATGCACGATCAAGTTTGTTTGTATTTTTATGTTTGAGTTTTTTTATGTTTGTTTGCTTGAGCTCGTACACAACTTTGTACAATTGGATAGCATTGATTGTAAATTCTTTAAGAGTTTCTTTTGCTCGTCTTCAGTAACGAGCAAACCAACCTGCTGACGAGTTTGACTTGCAATAAAATGATGTTGAAGTGTTGGACGGATTTTGCATCATTCATGAAGCTTCCCAGCTTAAAACTGTTTTTTCCGCGTTTAAGTTAACCACAACTCTTTCCTTTTACAATTATGTAAGAAGCAATGTTTGCAGGTTTTTTGCTGTTGCTGTTGGCTGTTGTTTTTGGATGCTTGAGTTGATTGTTGTTGCTGTATTTGGGGGTGATTGTTATGTTGTTGTATTTGTTGTTGTTTGTTTTTGCTCAGTAGTTGTTCTCACTTTTAAATGATATTATCTCATCAGTACTTGTCTTAATTTTTTTCGATTTATATTGCTGCAAAGTGACTGCTCTATCAATAAATTCTCATATAAAAATAAAATATTGTAGTTTGTTTGGCCATATTTAAATATTTTTTTTATTAAATATTGTACAAAAAAGAGACGGTATTTTTATTTTTAAAATGCGCGGTATTCTTAATCTAGCGTTCTTCTTTTTCTTGAAAATGATCCCCAGTAAAACTTCTTTAAAACGTTGTATAAGCAGCATGCTAGCTGACACACGTCTTACACATATCATTAAATGATGTAATATTTTACTTGGGTTATGTTTTTCTTTGTTGCTGAAGTGCCCAAATAAACTTGAATGAAGTTGATTGCGTCTGGAACCAACTGTGGAGGCGAGTCAGATTCGTTTCTACACAAAATTTCATCCTTTCCATCATTTTTATTCTAGTTAAATTGAACGAAAAACAAGAAAAAAAAACGCTTGTTCAGTTTAATTAAACTGAAAAAACAAAAAACAAATAAAAAAACGTGCAAACAAAACAAGAACGTACAAACAAAACAAAAACGGACGAACGAACAAAAACAAAACCCGCAAAAATGTGCAAGGATGAATGGAGACAGAGATGCCACCTCCTCTAAATCTTCAACTGAGATTTTTATACGCATGTATTATCATTTGATGGCAATGATGTGATGATGATGGGATGATGATGATGATGTACACATTATCAATCTGATTTGATGACGACGACGACTTGCTTGGTTGATGCATGAAATGACGAGTTGACATGATAATTGAATGATTTGTTAGTGTTATGATAGTTTAATGACATTAAAATTTAGTGTTTTAGCGTGGTTAAATGTTGCCCTGACGATGTACTTACTCCAAACCAGCCAGCCAACTAACTGATGTTCCATCTAAATTTAATGAATGTCATGCGGACGGAGATTCAGTCAGATTGTCGTTCATATGGCATGTTTGGTTGTTAATAAACACTTCTAATTTTGGTAAAAAGAAATTAAAAAGCGCAAATTATAATCTACATAATTTTTTATTTCATAACCGCAATATTAACCACCGATGAAAAATTGTAACAGCATCAACATACGAAAACCGTGAGCAGAAAATGATTTATTTACAATCTAACATCAACAACAACACTATGCTAAGATATTGTAACGCCATTAACATGTCTAAAACATCAACAACAACAACAACAATAGCAAAAACACAAATAAAAAGCAGTAGTAACATAAACTACAATACAACAATGACGTCGTCAGAAACAACATCTGAAACAACAAACCACAAAATCATGAACAGGAACGACGGCAACAACAACAACAACTACAACAACAACAGAATCATGAACAACAAAATAACAAAACAACAACAACAAAAACTGAAACAGCAGCAACAAAAGAACCAAGGGTACATTCCTGGTTGTCATAAAGCAGATGGGAAACATTGGACATGAACCACCTTTCCAGATTTTATGTTCCCGCAGATTACTTCCAGATAACTGCAAACTATAACTATATGATGTGTAATACATTATACGAGTGTAATATCTGACCAATAGATGCATGGTTGTGTTGAGTGTGTCGGCTGATGTTGTGTGGATGGAAGAGTTTCATGTCGTCATCAGCGTCAAAGTTATCATCATCTTCCTGTTTGATGTCATCGTCATTTTCATGTCTGACGTCATCATCGTCATCATCATCGTCGTCGTCACCATTTTTGACCTATTTGCAACGTAATCATAGTTTTTATTATTGTGCACATACTCACGCGTACACACACATACACACATACACATACACACACACATACACACATATACATACACACACACATACATACACATACATACGTGTACACACATATAGAAATAGGATTGTTTGTCTTTACATATCAATATATGCCTTGAGACATCATACAACCCTGTATTGCATGGTTTGGGTTGGCAGCTCATTTAAGCATTAATCCATTTTTTTAATGAAGACAGATCCGATGTAGGACCATGCGTCATTGGGAGGCAATGGAATTTTAAGGAAAAAAATAAAAATGTAAGGAAATCAAATGATTTTTGAAAATGAAAGCGGTATTGAGAAAAGGAAAGATGGGTGAATGAATGAGTAAATAAAAAAGTGAATGAATGATTGAATAAATGAATGAGAGAAATGAAGGAATGAAAGAATGACTAAATGAAGTAAATGACTGACTGACCGACTGACTGGCTGAATAAATGAACGAACGAACGAATGGATAGTTGAATGGATAGTTGAATGAATAAATAAACTGAAAGCACCATAGCGAACAAAAGTGTATTCAATGAAAGTCTAATGGCCTTTTTCAAAGATAAACTCATGAGTAGAGAAAGCATGGAAATTACAAAAAAATAAAAAAATAGTAATTTTTTTTCTATTTTAGTTACATTAAAAGTCACTTAATTCTGCTGAATCAACCAACCAGAATGACCAAGCAATCCAGTGTTTCTACTTTAAACCTCAATCAAAAACCTCCTACGTACATGTGTATTCCATAATAATGAAAATTCTATAAAAATTATTTATTGGGATTAAAACAGTTTCTCAAGCAAAATACAAAAAAATATTTGTCTAATTTGTAGCAGTAGGGGATTAGATAGGCTGATAGATACTCAATGATTTGTGACGTCTGTGATGTCGCAAAAGAAGCAAAAAAAATCGGAAGCAGCAGTAGAAGTAGCAGCAGTAAATGCAGTTTTTACATAATCTTGGATAGCAAACAAAAAAAGACACTGCGAAAATAAATTTCAAAAGATCAACAAAAAGAAAATGATATTAATTAAAGCAATATATCGTCTGAAGATTAGAACATGGTTCTGAATACAAAGCACTCGCATAATTATCCGGTAAATCAGGGTAGAACTTCTACATAAGCAAACAACTTATAATTTGACAGAAGAACACGAACACTTACACTCACAAATAAACACACACGTACACTTATCATAATTTGGATATATATATTTTGTATCAATGTATTTATGAAGGATAGGTTTGTATAATCTTAAAGGTTTCCGACAGATTTTTGATCGAATGATTCGATTTTTCGACATTTCACATTTAATAATTATTTTTTGATGTTGATGAGAATGATGTTCAGATAGGAATTAATTGATTTCCGTATGAAAAGTTTTTACAGTTTAAATTATAAAATTTGAAATTGTGAATTTTCCAACTTATTTATAATTGTAAATACATATAGAGAAATATATACGTATATATATATATATATATATATATATATATAATATAATATAAAAATGCAGTATGTATTATGTATGTATGTGGGTAAGTATTTATGTGGCGTAATGGCCTTCCTGAAATTGCATCTTCAAAGTACGGAATTAATGTCCAACCATCCTGAATAAATCGCCCAAAATTTTCACTTCTTGCTTCACATGCCTGTGTACAGATAGATAAATATGCACATATGGAAACGTACATGCCATGCCTACTTACACACACACACACACCCATACACACACACAGCACACACACACGACACACACACAACTCACTCACACACACATGCATACACATCACACACACATCTCGCGCACACATCAAACACGCACACATACACACACATGCGTGAAAACATTCATAGATACACACGTAGAAAGATTTATACACACAGATAAACACACAAGAAGCAAGACGTCTTGTGTGTTTTACACGAGCTTGTTAATGTTAGTAATTATACGTCTATGTGTTAATGTGTTTTTAAAAACAGTTATATGTATGTGTATAATTTAAGCGAATAGACGTAAAAAATAATATCTGCGCGTGTGTCTGTGGATGTAATAATGCGTATGTAAATGAGAAAATACGTTATACACATGTGTGTATGTATGTATGTATGTGTGAAAACATGCATGTATGCTTGTGTGTGTGTGTGTGTGCGCAACTATGTCGTGCGCTTGTGCGTGTACGTGTGAAAGAGTGGCCTGCAAACTGAAGCTTCTTAACCGGCATTAATTTGCATCGGAATGACTAGTTAGTGAGCGTTTTTTAGAACGTGTTTATGTGGTTGCTGCCCTTCGTTCATGTGGCTGTTACAGGTTGGGTTGTCATTGTTATGTTATTAGTGCTGTTGTCGTTGTTGTTGTTGTTTATTGTTATTTTGCTGTTGTTGTTGGTTTTTTATGTTGTAGGCTGTAATGTAATTGTTTACCTCTTTCAGTTAGGACAGACACAGAGAAACGTGCCTGCGAAAACTAAAGCAGTCAACAACCAATCTACCACATTATAAACATCGAACATTAATTTTAACAAGTCCACAAATGCAGACCATTCATCCATCCATCCATTTATCCATCCATCCATTTATCCATCCATCCATTTATCCATCCATCCATTTATCCATCCATCCATCCATTTATCCATCCATCTATCCATCTATCCATCCATCCATCCATCCATCTATCCATCCATCCATCCATCCATCCATCTATCCATCCATCCATCCATCCATCCATCCATCCATCCATCCATCCATCCATCCATCCATCCATCCATCCATCCATCCATCCATCCACCTGATTGGTTGTCGATTGCTCCATGTTATCCATACGCAATTAATTTCCTTGTTAACTACTGCTATTGATATTGTCATCACTCAAACTGCACCAATGGTTCTATCAGGTTCCAATCTTATTTCATTGATGCGAAAATGCGATATAATTAATCGAACCTTATTTCGAAAAATTTTAACAACATTAATGTCGAAAATATTTTATTTCATCACGTACGCTAAAAGGCAGAATAGTACGGTTTAAAACCTTCAATTATATCGCAGGCGTTATTCTACAAAACAGACTTTTCTTCAAAATGTACAACAATTCGCATGTTCTTCTTAATTTCTTGCACACATTGATAAGCAAATATATGACTGAAATTACAACAGTGATGCAATTATTTGTAATACGGTGAAGCCAATTATAGAAAATATAGAAAGTATCTTAAATGTTAATTTGACAAACAAAAGCGGCACAAATTTTGTAACAAATGATAACAACAAAATATCAAAAGATCAACCAAAGCAATGACAACAACATCAGCCGCAACGCAACAAAAGCAAAAATCTTCACAAAAACAACAAAAAGAAAATCAGTGGCAGCCACAACAATAAACAACAGCTGCAGCAGCAGTATGAGCAACAACAACATCAACTCATGCCTCCAGCAAAGCAACTGAGCAGACTCGCATTGATCCGCCATGATTGATGGCTCTCCCTCTTTCTCTTCATACTACATCGTTTGCCACCATGGCGACTTAAATTAAATCGTGAAAGAGTTGTAGACAATGTAGGGGCCCTATTCAGTGTTTTGTTTCCATTTAACTTAGTAAATGGTTTCCAAAAAAATAGCTCAAAAATTAGACGTTTGATTTTTGATTTTGACAATTTATGTAATGTAAAGTTATCAAAACTTAAGGCTGGGCTTGTTGGCGTTGCTTCATAATTTTTTCACGGACCGCTGTATATTTGTCGTCCGGAAATGAACACGACGGAAAGTTGGACATACTTGCAACCTTCTGCCATCGGATATGTATGGACAGCTGGACGACAAGGGGTTGACCTGCAGATATTTTTGAAGCGTAAAATTTTTTTCATTTTTTTCTACGTCCGTTAACAACATTTTTTTTATTTTTTAACTTTTTTCATTAAATTTGTAATATTTATCAAATGCTACATTGTTCTAAAGATTCGCAAAATTTTATAAAATTTTTATTTTAGTTTTAAATACCTCACCTGTTGAAAAATGAAAAGAAAGAAGCTTGATGTAACGATGTAATTAACGTATGTTAGTCTCGAAATGTTTTATTGATTTTATTTAACAAAAGTATGTTTAAATAAATTTTATCATAAATAATTTGACCCTATTTTTTATGGCAACCAACTCTTGGTAGCACAACGCGAGTTAAATTTTATAGATCAATCGGTGAAACAAACAAACAAACATGCAACAACAACTACATTTGTGTTAACCGATGTTTAAGGAATAAAACAAAAAAATATGTCACACAGTTGTTGAAGTGTACCAAACAAACAAAAGAATGAACGAAACGATAGCTAAAGGTTTCAATTTCAAAATAATTTCCAGCGTTGGAAAGAAACTTGTAATGAACATTTGATGAACAGACACGTGTTCGCGTGGATGTTTGTAAGAATGTTTAAACGAATGAGTCAATGAATGAATGTGGCAATCTTAAAATTTATGGTTGGTTCTATTTGTAAAAATATTTTAATATCAATTTTTTATCGTAAGCTGTTTTATAAGTGTTTTATATGAAAATCCGTACAATCAGTTTTTGTTTCGTTCCAAATTGAACTGGAAAAGTCAAACAACAGGACGTGTGGACATTGTGGAATGACGTTCATGCACGTAATAATTAAGATAGATGGCTGGAAACATACAATCATTAAACTTTATTACTTCCTACAAACGAAGGAGGAGGTAATACGCTGATGCGAGGGAGCTCAAATGTACAGCAGTAATAGCTAACAATGCAGAAATGTAAACATACAAATGAACAACTACAGACTTTAAAACAAGCAATGAAAAAAACATGCTAAAAAGCAAGCGCACATATACATAAGAATGCTAAAGTGCAAACATGTGAACGTGTAAACATTCAGAAATTCATTTTGAAAGATTGAAAGAAGTTGGAAAAGAAAGTCTTCGGAAGAATGCTTGCAAGAACGCGTGCACGCACGTGCGTATGACGCAGACGTATGCAACAGCATCTTTAAAAATAGATAAGACTTCCTTAAAATGGCTGCACACAGAAAGCAAGTTTAAATGCAAAACCTTCAGACGGACTAATACATTAAGACACACACCCAATTACTGTTCAGCTGTCACTGCTGCCGTTGCCGCTCTCGCACCACTGCTACTACAGCTACTACTATTACAACAGCTACAACTACTATTACAGCTACAACTTATACCATTACTACTACAGCCTCTACTACTGCTACTACAGAGAATACTATTTCACAGCTACTACTAAAACTGCTACTACTAAAACTACTACCATTAAAATTATATTCCGGTTCCATTACTTCTAACTTTATCAATAAATACTGTTGTTACAACTAGTAGCACTATATCTGCACTAAAATTGCTGATCCTTTTAGAATCTTTCAATTATTAACAATGAAACATTTAGAAATTTTAAAGTCCATTTAATTACCATCGTTACGAACGTCGCATTGGAGTTGCTTCGCTCAAAAGACATTACCGTGTTTCGACAACAAGCAAACAAAAAGGAGAAACAGGAAAAAAAACCGACAAAAAACGAACAATCAAACATAATTGGAATATTTTCTCGCATGCACGGACAAACAAAATGAGTGAACTGCATCTACTCGTTCTGAATGCGTCCCCTGGTACGTGCGTTCGCCCTCCTTTCAGAAGTATTTTATTGGATAAACGTCCCATGAAAAATTTTGTTTAGTTTACTCATCTACTGTGAACATTTTTGATGAACGCAAATCTACCAATAACGTGGAGCGCTCAGTATTTATTTGCACTATAACACACTACGAAACACATGTGAGGACGCACGCTTGGACATATGGTACGACATGATAAGACACATAACAATGTATTTAGTATCACTGTATACTTCTTATATATATTCTTAAATTGTGTGTGCTTTTTTTAAATTAGTAACAATAATTACTAGTGACAAATTTGGCAAAAATTTGTTACGCTAAAATAATTAAGTGAAACTGAAAATCTCGTATATTTTCTGTTATGTTTTTTCACTTTTTACTGTTAAAATTTTAGTTTTAGAGAGTGTTCGATTGAAATCTATCAAGCAGATACCTTTTAACAAACGGCGAGAGATTGATAAATATATTCTTATTCATTTCATTTAATACTTTCATTCAATCAGAACGAGGTTGTTCTGAAACGCTGTTTACTATTGGTAACATTACCACAATCAATTATAACTATGAGGATAATGATGATGATGATGATAATAATAATAATAATAATAATAACAACAACAACAACAACAACAACAACAACAATAATAATAATAATAATAATAATAATAATAGTAAATCTCAATGAAATTAATCATAGAGAAGCACAGAAATCCCCACGTCTCACTCAATTTGCCAAAAAATATTGCACGTTAATGCCATTTGTCGGACATATTTGCGTGCGGCGCGCGTCGGGCGGTTCAAACTGCCGCTACAAAAAACGTACGTACGCACATGTTTCCATTTTCAGGTCATCATCAACATCATCATAAATAAACCATAAATAATAATTTTTTTAGCAATCGACTGCGTAACATACTTGCTAACTTATACAGTTGTTGAATCAAAATTGTCTTTATCTTATAGGTGAAAAATTGAAATAATGTTCTAATGAAAAAGATATAAAAGCAGGAGATGTTTATGTTTAGGTCTAATTGATAAATAAACGATCAATATTTTATCACAAAAATAATCATTATCTAACAATTTTATAATAAAAAATTATGATTGGCAGTTTGTTTTTTAAAAAAAGTTATTTTTAAATGAGTTTTCAAATGTTCTCAATAAGAAAATCTAATTTGTTTTTGTGTAAAACTTCAAAATTTAAAAAAAAAATTTTTCTATACATAATTTTTTTTATTTTTTTATAAATTTCAAACTTTATGAAAAATTTAACTAAAACATTTCTTAAACACTCTGTTAATGACATCATATAAGATAGTTTTTAACACAACCTTAGATTAAAAATTATAACCAAACAGAAATATTGAAAAAAAATTTTCATGCATAAATTTTTATTTTTTGGTAACCATAAATAATTAATTTAATTAAAAAACCAAATTTAAAATCAATTTTTTAGCGGTTTCATGTGTCAGTTTTTAATATCCGGTTTTAAAATTTCAAAAGAAAAAACTCATTATAAATTTGCGATTCGCATGATGTTTATGTGAAGAAGGAGGTGATGACGATGATGATGGAGATGACGAAGATGATGAAGACGACGATGATGATGAAGACGACGATGATGATGAAGAGGATGAAGACGACGATGATGAAGATGATGACGACGACAATGATACGAATGATAAATGGATGGAGAAGAAGAAGAAGATGATGGAAATGATGATGACAAAAACAATTTTATTTAATCATCGTCTAAGAAGAGTGGCTGGAGCAGCATTATTAAGATGTAGCAAATCTTATTGGATGTTGTATCGATGTTGACAAGATAAATTAAACGTTCGGTCTCACTCAACGGATGATTGTGTGATGATAATGTGATGATAATGTGATAATAATATGATGATTATGTGATGATTATGGGATGATAATGTGATGATTACGTGATGATTATGGGATGATAATGTGATGATGATGTGGTAATGATGTGATGGTGATCTGATGATGGCTTGATGATGAAATGATTACATCTTTATAACAAAAATAATGAAAATAACAAATATTTTCATCACCATACAACCATAATCACAGTCGTCATCATCATCGTTGTCGTCCTCATCATCATTAGCATCATCATCACTCCTATTATCATCATCAACATGATTCAGTTTGTTTTTTAACCCCAGGTTTCACAAAATTTTCACGAAACATAAAAATGTGAATTATATTGCCTTGGCATGGCAAGTTGTTGCTTAGCAAGCATGTTCTTTTAAAACAGTGAAATGGATGTAGGGTTGTAGTTTAGTACCAGCTCTGTATACTGAAATGGCGAGAAAAAGTTAAACGCGTGAAATGAATGTGGTGATGTCTTTGGATAAATAGACGTCACATAACAAATGTGATTATTGAAATGACGTCACTAAAATAATAACACTAATGATTACCATGAAAGTAAAATGTTGCCAGCAACGATGTGATGATGATTAGGATGACGACTATGGTGATTACGATGATATTATTATCATGATGAGAGCAGTGGTGTTTTTTAACGGTGATGATGACCAACGGATGATAAGTATGGACATGATGATGGTCTATCGAGCTATAATGCCTTTCAAACAACGTCAGAAAATTAAAATTGAAACATTTTTATCGAAGAAAAACATTGAATTTTTTTTTAAATAATTAAAAAAGTTAAAAATCTGATGGGTTTCAATTTTGATGTTTAAAATTTTAAATTGCCATATTATTTAGAATTAATTTTCTTTCCTTGTTCAAAACTATAACCACATTTTTCTTCATTTTGCATGTGACGTCTATCCAATTACACCTAATTAAAATCAAATAAAACGTTTAGAATCACAAAAATGTCAAAAGGAAATATAGTTTTTATCGGTTTTTTCAAACAAGAACATAACATAACACAACACAGCACAACTCTACACAACACAACACAGCACAACTCTACACAACTCAACAAAACACAACACAAAAACAACACAACACAAGACAAGACAAGACAACACAAGCCAAGCTCCATCTTTGAAGATGTTTCTGATAAATTTCCATTTCATCATCCCTTGTCCACTTTTATTTTCCATGCTGCTTTCCATCGCAGACCTATAAATGATTAAGCGGGAAAGAAAAGAAATTTTTTAAAGAAAACGTATAAAGAAAGTTTGAAGAAAAAAATGAAAGAATAAATGATGAATGAGTGGATGAATTGATTGAATGACGAAGTGAATGAAGATAAGGTTAGGCAGCTATTCAGCTATTGAAGAAAATATGGATGTAGAAATAGGATAAAATATTTATAAATAAATGTAATAAATGAGTGGATGAATGAATGAATGGATGAATGAATTAATAAGTGTAATGGATGAGTGGATGAATTGACGTATGACTGAATGAACTGATGGAAAGATGGATGGCTGGATAAATGATTGTATATATGAACAGTCAGATGGGTCATAGAAGGAAGGAAGGATAGATGGTTGGTTGGATTGATGAATGGATAGTAATAGATGGATACTTTTATGCGTCATGCCTTTGAGGACAAACGGATAAATGAAAAACGACAATATTTACGATAAAATTTACTATAAAATTAATACATATTATTCAAAAAGCAAAAAGCAACGAACGAACAAATGAATAAGCATTTCACCATAAAAAGCATTTTATGAAAATTTAAACGTACGAAAGAATTTCAACATCAGTGGAAACCTTTATCGTTTAGAGGCATAAACACGAGGGTGGTTCGCAAAAAAATTATGAAACTAACCTGAAAAATTGAAGAAACGTTTATACAATTTGTTGTTATTTATATAACAAAAAATGACATGATCACATAATGCCCACTCGTAAAACATGTTATCGGTAATGGAACGCACGAGCAAACCGGCTCTGAAAGCTCTTCAGCCTACTTTCATGCTTTGCTGGCACGGACAGATAAATGAATGAACAGAAACTAGCAAACATTGTGGGTGTATTTATACAAATATTATATATATGATATATATATATATATATATATATATATATATATATATATATATATATATATATATGAGTACTGCACCTACATAAGTGATCATAAATTTGCAATCATCATACGCAAACAAAGAGGGAGATATGTGAATAAAAATAAGCTATGTAAGGCACATGTGCCGATCAAAATCTTTTTTTTGTATTGGCAGACGAAAACATATGAACATCGAAAACATTACAACATATTCGGAGAAACTACTTTTATAATAACACACGCAAACATGAAATTTATGGGAATGGAAGGTGTGCGATATAATTACGAGATAGAGGTGCAGCCGGAAATTAAATGTTTGAAAGGTTGGCGTCGTTTTTCATTATATGCTTTATTATTAGATGGCGCATTATTATTGTTAAAATATCCGCTGAATGATGGGTTAAAAATTTTTGTATAATTTTCCATGTTGTTTTTTGTTTCATTTAATGTTTGTGTTACATTATTTGAAAATATACTTTGGCATACCGGACTTGGTTGGATGCGTGCTATATGATGTTATGTGATGCGGTGACATTTTATTGAAATATAATTTAATAACGTATTGTAATTTTAATGTGATGTGGATTAATGTAAGGTAATTTAATTTAGGACGGTGTAATGGATATGATAATGAAACTCTTTTGAAAAGGAAGAAAATTAAGAAAAATCTTCCAACCATTCCGCAATTAGAATGATAAAAGATAATAATGAGAAAATGATTAATGATGACAACGATGATGTTGACGATGAAGTTGATGTAATGTTGGTGATGACTCAAAAAATGCAAACTACGTTGGTTAGGTTGATGACGACGATGTTGCTTTGTAATTAATGATGAAGGTGATAAAGATGACGACGACGATGATGATACGTCAGTACTGATGACGATGGCGATGATGATGAAATGGTGAAGTTGAAGATGACGATGATGTGATGAGGGTAATAGCATTTCCTTTTAATGAAAATAAAATATCCAACAACGTCTTTAAAAATATTGTTTACTGCATAGACATGCATGGAAATACATCATCACACATCACATCACGCACACGCGCACACACTCCACACACACACACACGCACGTACGCATGTTGACGGAGGTACAGATTGGTTTGTGTGTGTTTGCGTATGTTTATATTTGTGTAACGCACCCCTTCCTCTTTCCTTTACCATATTTCACCTCCAGCAACTTGTGCACCACAACAACACACCACACCGTACCACACCACACCACACCGCACCACACCACACTACACCACACCGCACAACACCACACCTCACCGCACCAGACCACACCACACCACACCACACCGCACTACACCACACCACACCACACTACACAAAACCACACCACACCAAACCACACCACACCGCACCACACCAAACCACACCACACCACACTACACCACACCGCACAACACTACACAAAACCACACCACACCAAACCACACCAAACCACACCACACCGCACTACACCACATCACACCACACCACACAAAACCACACCACACCAAACCACACCAAACCGCACCACACCACACCACACCACACCGCATCGCACCACACCATACCGCACCACATCACACCGCACCACACCACACCGCACCGCACCGCACCACACCACACCACACCACACTACACCACCACATACTGACGTTAAATTACGCTGCTGGGATTAAAAATGACAAATTACATTACAATCATTTATCTCCACTATCTCTTCCCTCACCTACTCACTATCTCTTTCGTTCTCCTATCACTCTCTCACTTTATTTTTATCATTTTCCGGGTTTTCAATTTTTTAACAGATTCATAAATGTAACTTATGTCTTAAAAGTTTAATTTATAATTGACAGAATGGATATTTTATCTGAAAGTTAAACTCAAACGTTTTTAAGAATATCATTCAAATTTCAAACATCAAAGGGCAATTTTTTAAATTAATTTTTAAAATCTTGGTCTGTCAAAGATCAGCAGCAGGAATTTTTATTTCGAAAATTGATTGCAAAGCAGACCAGACTGAACATTGAAAGACCGACAGACACATGAACGGCGCCCATGTCTCAACATCATCCCATCCATTTCAACCTATCAGAGACAACTTTCTAACTGCCGATTCAATTCAAACACACACGCAATGCAAAAGGCACACTAAACAAACAAACAAACAAACACAAAACACACAAACAAAAACAAACAAACAAAGAGACAAACAAACCCAGAAATCACAAATGTTTTTTCAACATGTAAGGAAAATGTTCGTAAACTGACTGATTTGCATCTGAAAAAGAAAAGGAAACGATTAGTCCACTGAATTGTGCGAATGAGGTAAAATCAATGATGATGAAAACGATGTTGTTGTTGCTGATGATGATGTTGTTGTTGTTGTTGACGATGGTAATGATGGTGGTGATGGCGATGATGATGGTGGGGATGGTGATGATGGGGATGATGATAATGGTGATGATGGTGATGATGATATATTGTGATGATGATGATGATGGTGATGATGGCGATGATGATATATTGTGCCTTTGTTCGGCTTGATTCTTTTCTTATACATTTCCCGTTCCATTTCTTTCATTTTTTTTAAATATGTTTTTCTTCTATTTAGATGCTTAACATCTTTATTCATTTAATATAAAGTTAATTTATTATCTTTTGACAGTTTAATTTTATTATAAGTGTACTTTGAATTTTTTGAAAAATAGTGTCAATTTTATTTTTAATTTTTTGATATATCTATTTACATTGCAGTTAAAAATCAACTCGGGTTTTTTTTGTTACACTCATTCAAGTTATTGACATTCTGTCATCTGAGTTTTAGTTCGGTTTTCAAATTGCTTTTAAACGGAAACTTAAATTTGATGACCACAAAATTGTCATTCTGTGTTTTTCGTTGGAATAACAAATCGAAAGTAAAAAATAAAAAATTTGTTTAGTACGCCCTAAGATTAAGTTGACCGTCGAAAGATAAGTCTAGTGGCGTGCTCGCGTGCTTCAATTCGATGAGTTTGTTTGTTCTTTTCCAAGTTTGTCATTCTATAGCTGGAATTAGGATAAAATTAATTTTTTGAACAGCCCTTTACAATTTTCAATATAGTTTATTAAAAACCTTAAACCATTTGTGAGAATGTTTTCAAATGATCGATGAAATTTGTGCTCTTTTGTTAACTAGCGGCATTCATGCAACAAAAACTCTATGAATAGTTTTCAATGCTCGTATACTTATATTGAAACTATTCATTTCCAGCATGAAATCACTTGCAATAATATGCAGACTGGCATATCTGTTAGTACTTACCCCAGCATTTGAAAGGTATGCTTGTCTTGCAGTTCAGTGAAACATGCTGAGCCTGTCTTAGAAAATCCATTTCAGCAAGCAAGGCGCTTTTCAATGAGAAGGTAGTTAACCTGCTGACCTTCATTTATCCACAAACATTTTTCTAAAATCCGTGTGCGCATGTATGACTAAATGTACATACGCGTTTGTACATAAATAGGTATGTGTAGTGTACCCATAAATCTGTGCTTGTAAATATCAACATGACTGGACGACGCACTAACTCTGAAGTTAGTAGAAAATATTATTTACGAGCAAAAAAATAATAGTCCATACGTCTGTTTCCCAACCTTCGTTGGAAGGAAGGGGCGCTGTGGACGACAATGATTGTACGTTTGTTGCAAATTAACAGGAATGTTCAATGGCAGTGTTGTCTTTAATTAGCAGCCAGCCTTTCCATTCAGCACCTCTTTCATCACTTGCAACCATTATTTCGACCAAAATGATTTATTAAGACTTTGAACCGATTTTTTTACAAAATTTTGTCTAAAACTTGCTATTTGCTCGGTAATGAGCAAGTATTTCTTCATTTGTGCAAAAATTGGTTCCTTCTGCTACACTCAACAAAATAAAAATTAGTTCGTGTTCTATTGTTGCAATTTACGCCGGTTAAAAAATTTTAAACTGGAACGAAGTGTGAATGGATACGTTAAGAGAAGTGAGGAGAGCTGAGCTTACTTGTTGCTGGTGAGGACTCCCAACAAACGATTGCATGCTCCAGTTCTATATTTTAAAGTATCAACGAAGAACAAACACATTGACTTCAACGCACGAGATAAGTGTGCGGCTAATTTTTTTTTCATTCTGTACAAAATTCAAACTCAGAAAAACTTGAAAATTAGCTCAGCACGCAAAAACTTATTACAATGATAAAAAGATTTTTAAAAATTTAAATAATATAATAAGAAAAAGCACACAAAATGAAGTAAAAAAGTACAAATGCATTTCAAAAGCGCAATAAAATACATGAAGAAAATAATCATCATGAACATCACAATGCTAAATTCTCATATTAAATGCTTTGTGCAATGGCTTCTGCTTTTCAATATCTGTCTGTCTGTGGCTTCGTAGTTATAATAATGATTCTGTTTATGGCGATGATGATGACGACGACGATGATGATGATAATGAGGTTAATGATGGTAGTGTTGTGGATTATTATTATTTCAGCAACAAGCGTGATGGTTTTGAGAGCCCTTAAAAAATTATTTGCATCATTACAATGATCGAAAACTCTAACTTTTAAAGACTTTTTTACTGACTTTAAAGATTACTTTGTTACAAAATCTTTACAGGTATTTTGTTTAGAAAACAATTGCAATAACTTTGAACAATTTTTTAATCATCTAATAATTTATTTAGCGATTGATTTAAATGCTACTATTCAACAAACAACAGCTCCTGTTTTCAAAATTTATCACCAAATTATATTTTTCTTTTCCTTTCCTTTTTAGAAAAAAAAATCCAAAACGAGAATGAATGCGATTACACACGAAAGTCATCCGTTTCTTTCATTCAACAATATTTCAATTCACTTTTATGCGCAAATGTGTGAGTGACGTCATTAAAATGGCGGCACGCACTCAGACGTGTTCCTGTCTAAAAATGTCGGTTGCTGGCCATGATGATGATTGTTTTGATGATGATGTTGGTGACAATGTAGGTTTGCTGTTATTAAAGTTATGACTGAAGTAATTTCTTTTTATGATGTTTTTGTTTTGATTTTTTGAGTTGATGTTGATCATAGCTAATATAATTCAACTGTTATGTAAAAGCGTTTTGCAGTGCTGCCTAGAAAGATAAAATGAATTATCTATTGTTATATGGTAAGTACATTGATACTTTGAAAATATAAAGTTGATGCCATTGGGTATTATTGATGTCTTGCTTGTTAACCGGAGAATAATGTTACATGCTAATGTAACTATAGTGTTTTATTGCTGTTTTTGTTACATTAATTTTGTTAATGTATCTATTTGAAATTCTGTTAAACAAACTTGAAAATTTAACAAAAAAGTTTATGATTGGCGGTTAATAATTTACTTGTTACTCACGAACAACATTAAGAAAGGATCTGACATTCAGAGAAGAGCAGAGGTGCAGTTGTTGGTGTTGTTGTAGAGATCACGTGCGCAGTTGCACTCATGCATAACTGCACCGAATCAGTTAATTATTCACTTCTGACATTCACTGAACAATTGTTTTGAAACGCGAAGAATATGAAATTGTTTTAAAAAACCTAAGTGCACTTGAAAATTTTTGTTGGAAACAATGAAAAAATAAAGAATAAAATGCGGAAAAAACTGCGGCACAAACGTCAATGCTTGAACAGAAATAAATTTGAGAAAGTACAATGAGAAGAGATGGATTGAGATAGGCATGCTGTGGATGGGTTTGTCTCTGCTTATTTTCGAGATGAACTGCTTTAGAAACGAATGCTGCCACCTGGACGGCTTCATTAGTTTTGCTTTTTAAACATCCATGACATCTTCCATTTGTCAAATAGACGTGCATGAATTTATCAACGTGCAGCTTTCAACGTTCTCTTGTCAAATAATTTTGAAATTTGTTATATCACGCAAGGAGATTGGTGTAACAATGAATGAAGCATGCATTCGAACGCTTAACAGCGAGAAACTAAACATTCATGATTGATTTCAACAATTCGATTCATTAGTTTATCTATCCATTTTCCATCTTTCCAATCACTTTTAACATGCATTCATCTATTTGTCAGTTCATTGCTTACATTAATCGTTTATCTATTCCTTATATATTCATAAATTCGTTAATCAATTCATAAATCCGTGCATCCATGCATCAATCAATCAATCAATCAATCAATCAATCAATCAATCAATCAATCAATCAATCAATCAATCAATCAATCAATCAATCAATCAATCAATCAATCAATCAATCAATCAATCAATCAATCAATCAATCAATCAATCAATCAATCAATCAATCAATCAATCAATCAATCAATCAATCAATCAATCAATCAATCAATCAATCAATCAATCAATCAATCAATCAATCAATCAATCAATCAATCAATCAATCAATCAATCAATCAATCAATCAATCAATCAATCAATCAATCAATCAATCAATCAATCAATCAATCAATCAATCAATCAATCAATCAATCAATCAATCAATCAATCAATCAATCAATCAATCAATCAATCAATCAATCAATCAATCAATCAATCAATCAATCAATCAATCAATCAATCAATCAATCAATCAATCAATCAATCAATCAATCAATCAATCAATCAATCAATCAATCAATCAATCAATCAATCAATCAATCAATCAATCAATCAATCAATCAATCAATCAATCAATCAATCAATCAATCAATCAATCAATCAATCAATCAATCAATCAATCAATCAATCAATCAATCAATCAATCAATCAATCAATCAATCAATCAATCAATCAATCAATCCACTCATTCCTAGCATATTTTATTAATCCATCCATCCATTCATCCATCAGTCATTTATAGATGTATTTTTATAATATTTTATCCTTCCATCCATCAATCTAATTATTCATCCATTTTTCCATTCATCCATAAATTTATCAATTAATCTACTGAGTCATTGACCTTTTAATTCATCCATCCATCCATCCATCCATGCATCATGGATGGATGGATTGGTTGGTCACGGAGCGTAGGTTCAGATGAGATTGTTGTAAATCACAATGAGGACGAAACCTCAAGGAAGGATACTGCAAAGGATAATTGTTGGCAGCAGCAGCCTCTGCAGCTACAAAAAATAATTTACTGTTCTGCAGTTAAGCCACAAGAAGCAGACTCATCTTACGCACGGGTTTACAAAGCAATTTTCTCTAAGATTATTTAAATGCAAAAAGGAAATTAGAAGATGTTTTACAGCACTGTGTGCCTATGAAATTAAATTGTTATTTTTATGAAATTTTAGACGCTTGTTAAAAAAGTTTTGTTTACAGTCTAAAATGGTAAATACTGGTGAATATTTTTAATAAACAAACCTCACCTGAAATATTTTTCATAATTTTTATAAAAGGCTTCTTATAGAAAAATTTCCATTTTATTTTAAAACTCGTTAAACAACACAGTCCTTGCTACTACTTTTGAAGGCAGTCGACAGCACAGGTTCAACCACATCATGCTAGACCAAACTGTTATTGTTGGTTAATCAGATAATAATGTGAACTCTTTTATTTTCCAAAGACAGAGCATAAGTAAAATCAAAATATTGACAATGAAATAAAATTGAATATAGTTAAATATACAGTTAGATGAATAAAATAAAATAAAATAAAGATAAAGTGTTAGAGTAATACGGATAGTCATCATTGCTCGTCATCTTATGAAAATAAGTAAGTACCATGATGATAAATAGTATAAAAAACTTCACTCATTGTTTCTATCACAGTACAGAGCATATGATGACGAAATTACACTGTTAATCAAACTAAATCTAAAATAATCGGTCCAAGTTATATCAATTAAAGACATATTAAAAGGATTGTAAAAGCCAATTGGCGATATTTCAAAGGTATTAATTAAAATATTGCAATGCTTAAAGTCATCAATAATATTATCTTTCAAATTACCAATATATTTATTCATTTTAAATTGTTTTGATTTTATGAAGTTAGTTTCATGGCAGACAGTCAGTTCAAGTATCTTGAGCGTGTCTTTGTTGCGGACAGCAATGTCAGGACGGAGTGATCTGAACAAGTCTGTTATTGGTCGTATCTTTTCCCCTTTCAAATCCGCAAAAATCTCGACACCCGGCCTCGTGTCTACCTTGAAATTATCGATAATTATTTTAAAAATTTTGTTGTGGCGATCTAAGTATCTGCTCAATGCAGATGATGAGTCACAGTTTGACATGACGTGTTTGTTCGTTTGTGTTGCATTGCAGAGCAAACATGATGCATTTGTAGTTTTGCCCCATCTGAAGAGGTTGGCGTTTGATGGTAGCTGTTGAATAAGGTATTTTCTGGTGAATTTATAGAGGACCTCTGATAGCTTTACTGTCGACCTGGACCATCGCGTTATCACGGAGCTATGGATGTACTTTTTTATTGATTTCACAAGGGTACCTTGGCATTGCAGCAGCGAGAGATGATTAAAGTTCGTTTCATAATGCTTGTGTTTTAAAGCATTCATTGCTGGTTTTAATTCAACATTTACCAAGATCAGGTTGTCAATCTTTCCATAATTGTTGTGAGATTCACTCCACAATGATCTCATTTCTTCATTACTATTCAATTTGAGATAACCACGGAGTTTTAGACGTAACATCTCGGCGTGCTGTTTCAACGATTTTATGTTGAGGCCACCAGTTTTATACGGCAGCGAGCTAACTTCGGCGATGCAACTGGTTATGGGCAGTGATAGCCATTCTCTTACTGTTTCTGTCACAAGGCGGTTCAGTGTGTTTTCTATCCAGGTTAGCGAAATATTGTAGGTGCGTAGTTCAAATGAGATTTGAGTAGGGACAAAACGCCTAAGAATTTCCAGCTTCCATTGAACAGTTATATCCAGTCCACCAATTTTCCTCAGCATAACCTTGAGCTTATTGTGCAGTTTGTCTTTCTCTCTGGTATTTTTGTCCTCAAAATCGTATATTATTCCTAAGTACGTAAAACCTTCGTTAATATTCACCCGGGGAATTATTTCATCATCTATTGTCAATTGAGGCAAAAACTGCTCATACTTTCCGTCCAGCTTTCTCATCCCAAATGTACAGCATTTGTCAGTTCTCAGCTTCATACCCGTCCATTTGCACCATGCTTGGCTGAGATTGATCAGTCTCTGGGCACTCTCGGAACTGTTAGCAATGATTGCCGAATCGTCGGCAAACTGAAACCAGCCTCTGGATTTTAGATTGGCTGTTGGTCTCCATATGTATCCGCATTGTTGATATTGTTTTGCTTCTAGCATTTTCATTAGAGGATTGAAACAGAGGTTAAAAATCAATGGTGAGCCTGGGTCACCTTGTAGAACCCCCCTTTTTACTTGAATTGGGGAGGTTAGTTTGTTGCACACCGATACAGTTATCGAGTAATCGGCGTATATTGATCTAATTAGATTGTTGACCTGGTTTGGGATGTGGTGATAACTTAGGATAGATGAAATTAGATCATGGCTAACCTCGCCAAATGCATTTCTTAAATCTAGGAGGGTAACAATGATTGTCCTCTGATGTCTCTTGGCGTCCTTTAGAAGGTGAGATAGTAGTTGCGTGTGTTCAGCTACACCGCCAACTTTGGGGTAGAAGCCTTTTTGGATGTTTTTATTAATGAAGTTGTTTGAATCTAAATATTTGTATATTCTATTGTTTACAAATGTTGAGAAAATTTTACAGAATACTGGTTGAAGTGTTATTGGCCTGAAATTCGCTGGGTCGTTGGCGTTTCCCTTTTTGTAGATCAGTATGGTCAACCCTTTTCTCCAGCATGTAGGGATCGACGACGTTCTCCAACACTCAACCAGTAATAGATAAAGGATTGTGCGAAGTATGGGACATTTTTTGAGAATTATTATTGACATTTGATCTAGAGGACAAGGAGATGCTTTCGACTTGCATTTCTTGATTATTGAGAATATTTCATTGTACATAGGAGGATTGGTATTGCAGGCAATTGAAGGGATCGTTAGAGGTTCGATCCAATTTGGAAGGCGATATTTATTGTGAAATGGGTCTTTTAAAATTTTGTTGAAAAATTTGTTGGCTTCTTCGACGCTAAACAGTGGTAACAGAGCGGTTGTCGGATTTAGTAATTTTTCACACGTTGCCCAGAATTTTTGTTTTAATTGGCTTGTGATATTGACTGTTTTTTCAGCTTTTATCGCTTTTGCTGATGATATTTTTGATCTAATATGTTTGCTCAGCGTGCTAATTTGGACGTCAAAATTGTGGTTGTTACGGCCTAGCAGCTTTAATTGTTTCAATTCTGACTTTAGTTTGTTGATTGGTTTATCGAGTGTTGTTATTGAGCTTGATTTTTGATTAAGAGTGCCGTAGTTTGATGCGAAATAATTGTATATTAGTGTTTGTAGAGTGGTAGTGAAGTTATTGATGTCAGTAATGTTTGGCAGTGTTGCTATTTGAGAGTAGAAATATGCATTGGCTTCAAGCCAATGAGTTGTTGTTTTGGGTAATTTTATCCCTGGGAGTGGTTTATTGTTCGTGATGTTGTTTGCCGGTGGCGATGATGTTGGCGGCGACGTTGATGTTGACGGCGGTGGAGATTCTTTCTGTTGCATCGGAGATGACGTCAATTTGGAATCCGCTTCTGGATCATTTTAAGATTTTCTCGAATTTTGCAAGTCCTTGAATGTTTTGCACGATCGTTGGTGCATTCGCAAACCTTTTCTCCCTTTACATCGTCTACCACAGCAACAAGTTGTTAAATTGCTATCAGTATCAACGGCAATATTATTATTTAAATTATCGGCCAGTAAATTTGGAAAAATTATGATATTGTCACCTGTTTGTAAACGTGCATTATTGTAATTGTTACTGTTTGCAGTAGATTTTGTACAACGCCAGGAGTGGCTTCCGAGTTTAACAAAATCTCTAAGGCAATATGGGCATTTTGCAGCATTTATTATTAAAATTAAGTTAAAAATTATAATTAAATTGAATAGATATTTAGAATTAGGAAAAATTAATATCATTTTATTCGTCATAATTTTTCGCAACTTTTACACCTATTTTTTATACTTTAAAACGATATAAAACTCGATTAATGTAACTAAAATAGTGAGCTAGTAGAAGTCTGCCAACTCTCGTATTTTGCAATACAATAATCACTATACTAATAATAATAAAAATAAATAACAAATATTCAGCAAGTGATCTTGGTGTTTCAAAAGCATTTTATAGTAAACATTTTTTAATGTTTTTTGGTTTTTCATTGCCAAAAAATTCAGTTTTAAAGTTCTGATATTATTATTATTATTGTTTAATCTCATAACTACTATCGCCGTCATAAGAGCAACATTTTAAAAAATTATTTTTTGTTAGTTCGTATCTCTGTTCTTGTAATTCTTTCGTTTGTGTTTGCAGGTAAGCATATTTAGAGCAGAAGATAATAAATTCATTCAACAAAGGTTCCAAAAGTCACTTGAAAACTCCAGAGTGGTACCATTTAAGAGTTGAAGTGCTGTGCAATATGTTGATAGAACTGATGAAAAAACTTGCTTCCACTTATTAAAAAATGAATATAACATGCCTGGCAAAAAGTGTTTCAAAACTCATTTTTATGAAAAGTTTGGTACACTGCAGCTAACATTCAAAACTTGATACGTATGTTTTTATTCTTTTTGTGGTAGTTCAAAAAATTGTTTATGTCCATGTTATTTTTTTTTATTTGAGAATTTTTTTAATTAAACGTAAATAATGTTGTCAAGTGAAGCGTGCATAGCAGAAACAATTTTGAGCTCTTCGGTGCGGAAACTGTTTTGAAACGATAAATTTCGTTTGCATGGTCGCTCAGAATTAATTGAAAATCGATTGTTGTTTTTCTCTAGTGGAAATTTCCTGCAGGCATTTTATATTTTTTCCATTTTTATATGTAGTTTGTTTACTTTCTTGTGTAAATTTTCTTGTTATAAAATTTTTAATAAAGTTTTTGAATTTTAATCGGTGTTAACTTCTCGATTTTGGCATTATATAGAATGTTCTTCTGTTAAGTCTTTCACCAAGATAAATATTTTTAAGTAAGTGTTGAGATTTTTGCGTCATTCTAAACAAATATATGCGGTTATTTAAAAACATCGCAACACTGTATGCGTTGTCCAATTTACAATTGAGTTTTTCAATTTTTCTTACAACGAATTTTTGTTCGTTGTTGAGTTTGAGTCCATAAACAAAATTTGTATTCAATTTTTGCATTGTTGATTTATTATATTTCTACAAAACCGACATAAAAAGCTTATTTTCGACTCCATTTGTCATCATCAGTCCTGAATACTACTGGCCTTGTTTGTATGTCTCCTTCGTGGGCTTTCATACTTCTTAGTTTCATCGTCAATTGCTGGCTGCTCTTCTGGTTTTGTTCACATTAGTAGTTAGTTTGGTTCTATAGATAGAAGATTTGGCAGTTTTTATTATATATCATCACATGTATTGTATCACATGTTTTATATATATATATATATATATATATATATATATATAATTTTTATAATACATGACGAATATGGAGGTGTGCACTGTGCAATAAGCAGACATACATTTGTTTTTTATTATTTACAATACATACGTATGTATAGTTTCACATGTTATATATTATATATTATGTATTGTGTTATAATAATTAGACATATATGTATTGCATTATATACAATATATATGTATGTATTGTATTATATACATATGTACATGTTTGTACTGCATTATATACATATATACATGCATGTATTGTATTATATACATACATGTATGTATTGTATTATATGCATCATGCATTGATGTGCGTGTGTGGCTAGGGTTTGGCCTGCGTATAAAAGATATTTTTTCGAGATTTTGATGTTGTGCATTGCATCGCATGCATTGTGTGCATTATGATGAATTGTCTTGTATTGTATGGCGTTGTTCAGAATTGTATTTAATTGATGCTAACGTGGAAGAGCTGAGTGGCTCGTTACGTCTTAGGAATAATTTTAATAACTTATATTGTAAAGATACATTTAACATCTTTTTAAATTAATTTAAGCTTAATTTAAATTAGTTTAATTAATTTAAAAAAATAAAATTAAAATAACACAAAATTACATTGAAAATAACGTTTGAATATAAACATCATCCAAACTTCAATTGTTAATGTATAATGTATAAATATAAGAACGAAAAAATTATTTTGTTCTGGGCTACCTTCTTATAATTAAAAACAGCATAAAAAATCTGAGTTGCATTGTTTTTGGATACCTAATAGCACGTTAGTTAATTATTCATTTTTTTGTCAAATTTTCAATTCTTAACCTTATAAAATAAAATAATATTTCTTTAACGAAAATTTGTTAAAAATACCAGGAAGAATTTTCATTCATTTTGATGTTTTTAATTCAAAGCAAAAAACGAACTTTAAAAAATCATCACTTTTGTTGCTGTTTTCGTTTTTCCAAAGGCAATTTTAAGGCTACCTTAGAGCCACGTAGCACTCGGTGAATGCACACGACAGTATGCACCATCAAGCTGACCACCACATCAGCAACTGACCAACAAAATGCGATCAGCAAGCGTACCGTTATTACTTGATCTTCTATTTCTGAATATATTGTTCGTTGCTCACATCTATGAATAAATTAACATGAATTATCATAATATTACGATCGTCATTATTCAAACAGTTTTTTTTGTGATTGAATGTAGATATTTTTTGGTCCTCATTATAATTAAGTTTGTTAAAATCATCCCTTAAATTTTTTTTATAGTTTATTAAACTTAATAATTTCATTGACATCAATAACATCAACAACAAAATGAAATTATTTAGAAGACAACATAAACTCAACTGACATGAGGAAAATTTTAAATATTGAAGATTATTTATGGACGGTTGTCAGCGTGAACAGGCATGGCGTCCTTCAACCCGCACACTGAAAACGGCATTCCTTCAATTTTATTACTATTACCTTCTCTCCATTCCCTCTCTTATCTCTCTCTCTCTCTCTCTCTCTCTCTCTCTCTCTCTCTCTCTCTCTGGTCTGCTGATACTATCATCTCAATAACTATTCTTCTTTGAATTTTGATACTGTTGCAACTACTACTTCTGCTGTGAGTAATACTACTGCTGCTGCTGTTACTACTACGTACTTCAACTACTACCCTTTATACTTCCACTGCAAATGTAAATTTTTTGAAAGCACAAAAAGCCGATTTCCTCAATTTTAGATTAATATAAAATAATTTGAATTACAAATTTATTTGTTCATAAAAAGTTTTAACTGAATTAGTGTGACGAAAGAAAACATTTTTCTAAATATGAATATCTAAACTTATTAAAAGATTAGTTCTGAACTGTGAAAATTTTTATTTAAAACTGCCAAAAAATGACTGATTAAATGAACCAGTTGTACCAGTTGTACAGACAGTACACAGGAAAGGCTGATTGATTAGTTAATTGATTGATTGACTAATTGATTAACTGATTGATTAACTGATTGACAGAGTATAGCACGAACGCATATAAAAATTGTTGATAGGATATACTTTTTAATCATATAATCGCCTTCCCAGAAATCGCACTCCCCACAAGAACAGGAATGTTACAAAAATATAGAAATAACAAAAAAAAAGAAATTTGTGAAAAATTTCAAACAGAAATCAAAAGCGATCAATATTTTTGACACCGACTAGCAGCCAGGCCTCTGGCAGAACGAATTTGTAATAATTCTTGATAGAGATAGGAAAAACATGAGAAGTGATTCAACTATTGAAATAATACTAAGAATACTGAAAATTTCTCTACATGTTACTGATTCTTATTCTGTGTATCGTTTCAATATTGTTACAAATAACTAAAAAAACGAATTAATGTATGTGTGAATGAATGAACGAAAGAATGAAAGAGCGAAAGAATAAAAGAATAAATGAATTAAGGAATTAATTAATTAATGACTTAGTAAACAAATAAAAAAATAAATATAAATTTTATATTTAAATTGAAAACATGTATATTTCGGCCCTGGAGAAGGGTTATTTGGTACGGACCCCAAAAGTTTAAGGGTCTCAAAATGACTCTTACAGACCCTATACATATGTATGTATGTATATATATATCCACAAATACATGTATACTTAGTTTTTATAACAATAGATCATTAGAACATCCCCACATACAATGCGATCGTAAACGTTTCATCATTGCATTCATACCACACTTTTTTATCATCGTCGTCATCATCTTAACTATAATCCTCATCAACATCATCATAACCATAACCACCGTCCCAATCATCATCATAATCATCAAAACGATCATTATCAACAACACTGATATCATTTTCAATATAATTGTAACCATCATTCAAGTAAGAAGACGAAAAGAATAGTTCTTAATATTTTTCACTAATGATTTATTCATTTTGGCTCTCTCAATTGTTCATTCAATCATTCATACATTTTCTTTTATTTATACATTTGTTCATTCATTCATTCATCTATCTGTTTTTTTGTTCTTTCCATCTTTTGCATGTTTGTTATATTATTTTTTTGTCCGTACATTAACCGGCTCGTCCATTCATTCATTCATAAAAGTGTTCATTTTTCAATAATTTTTTGATATTTATTATTTATTTGATGAATAATATAAGAATAAATATTTTTCATCCAGTTTTCCTTCATTCTTTCATCTGTCTATTCACTCATTCAGGCATATTCACATACAAACACACAAACAAACACACACACGCACACAGACGCAAAGACACAGAGCACATCAGATGCAAACAATATTACGTTCACGGTTCGCCACATTAATGATGTTTGCGATGAAGTTTCAAGTACTCATCGATATTTGCTATAAAAACTAAAACATCAACAAAATCAATGTTGGTTGAAATGGCATACAAATGCGCGCACACACACACACACACACACACGCACACACACACGCACACGCACCCACACACATACACACACATACGCACACACACACACGCACGCACAACAGCACCAACTGTCTTGAAACAACACGCAGGCTGATTTAATGCGTTTGATATAAAATCGTAAACATTAAATAATTATTACGATGATGACGACCACGATATTAAGCAATAAATGCTATGACGCGAGTTACAAAACATCTGCAACAAAAGGTGATTTAAAATGTGACGTCACCAACATAAAAATGACGTCATTGTATAAACGTTACCTCATGAAAATGAAAGTATAAAATCATTTATAATTAAAAAATATAAAAAAATAATAATATAATTATTATTTATATTATCGTTGTTATCAATTCAATTTGGTTACAGTCATTATTAATACGTGTATTTGCCTATATATCTACATGTATGTTCGTTTAGGGATATATGGGCTTATGTATGTGTTTGTATATGTGTGTATGATTGTGTATGTATGTATAAAAGATATGTATGTATCTGCATGTGTGTGTGTGTTTGTGTGTGTGTGTGTGTGTGTGAACCCTCGATGTTTGTATATTGATCGTGGCGTTTTTTAATTAGACGACGTGAACTGAAAGAAGTTTAAACATGTTTCCTCTCTTTTCATATTATTCGGTGGCAGATGGCTGTTGCAATGATGATAGATGATGATGGTGGTGATGAGGAAGAAGACAACAAGATGATGACGATGATGATTAAGATGTGACAATCATGACGCCGATGA